GATTGGGGCTTCTCCCGCGAGAGGGAGGGGGTGAGAGAAAGAACGGGAGAGGGAGTGGAGAGGAGAGAAGGCACAGAGGGAGCGTGAAGGGCGAGGGAGGCTTTCAGAGCGGGGCCGGAGTGTCGCGCTCCGCGGTGCCTCAGCCGCCAGGAGGGCAGCGGGGCCTTTCCCGGGTGCGGGGCTTTGCTGGGGCAGCGGGTGAACATCCCCGGGCCCGGGGCGCGCCCTGCCCGGCTGCCTGTGCTCTCTGCTGCAGGGGTGCGGGCGCAGCCGAGGCTGGGGGAGGCCAGTGGAGGGATGCGAGCACCCAGGGACTCTGTGCTTCTCTCCTGCCGCGGGTCCGGCTGCAGTTTCGTCCGTTACGCAGTTGGGTGGTACCGTCAGACACCGAATGGTAGATTCGAGTTAGTATCCAACTGTTGGGCCTCGGGTAATCCATATTATGGAGCAGTAGAGCAGGGTCGAGCCAGGGTTTCCCAGGACAATTCCCAGTCCGTGTCTTACCCGTCCCTGCATGCCCTGCATTCCCTGGACACTACTGGCTACTTTTGCGCTCTTCTCTACCATTTGCAGGGTGACAGGAAATCCAGAGTAGCTTCAACGCAAGCTTCCTGCTAGGATCCTAGTGCTGGGCCTTGGAGCATTAAGGCAGTAGGAGTAACATTTGTTCATGGTTTGTTCTTCCTTCTTCAGTCTCTTTCACAGGCAGAATGAAACAGAGAAAGGGTTTAAGTAGAAGCTCAACAATCATTGAAGAGTTGAAATTTGAACATGAAGGGCCAGAGCTGAAATGAGTTTTGAAACCTCATATTGTTTAAGGAGCCTCAGAGTAGTGCAGCTTGCAGGAGCTGGGCAGCAGAGTGACTTTTCCTCTGGGTATTGCAGAGTCTCACAAGATCAGAGGGGGAGAATCACCTACCTTGACTTGGTCTTGCTTCTTTTGCTGCAGCCCAGGATGCAACTAGTTTTCTGTGTTGCAAGCATGAATTAATGAATCTTGACCTTTTCTTGACCAACACCCTCAAGTCCTTTTCCTCAGGGCTGCTTTCAATGCATTCTCCACTTAGCCTTTAGTTTTGCTTGGGATTGCCCCAAACCACGTGCAGGACCTTACCCTGGGCATTTTTGAACTTCGTGCTATTTTCAGGCACCCAACTCTCAAGCCTGTCAAGGTCCGTCTGGATAGTATCCATTCCTTCCAGAGTGTTGAGCACACCACACACCTTGGTATAGTTAGTAAACTTGCTGAGGTGCACTCAATTCTACTCTCCATGATGCTGACACAGATACTGAACAGCACTGTTCCCAGTACCTACCCATGAGGAACTCCATTTGCCACTGGTCTCCATTTGAAAATTGAGCCATTTGCCACAAGTCTTTGAAGGCCAACATCCAGCCAATTCCTCATCCACTGTGTGGTCAATTCATCAAGTCCATGTTCTCCAATGTAAATTTAAATACACGATATTTTGTGGGATAGTGTCAGATGCTACCAGGTTGAGGACAGCAACTTAGGGCTTAAGCCGCACTTGGCTGTCAGATGTCATTGTGTGCCCCAACCCCCCACCGTGAACATTCAGAAGAGTTTCAGGAACAGCAGAGTGGGTTCCTTGTTTTTCCAGCTTGGCAAAGACAAAGGAATTTGCTTCCCCATGGTGCAAAAGCTTCCTGCTTCAAATAGGAGAATCAGGAAAAGTTCCTGTCTGACAGAGAAAAGGAGAGAGGGAAACGGGACGTCTCCCTCCTCGTGAGCCCTGATTCCTCGTACTAGCTTGATTCCTTTGCCCATCTTGGTCAGCTGCGTTGAAAGACAAAATATTTAGTCCTCCTGCTCATCCAGTGCCATTGCAGTGCCCTCACTAGCATTGTCCTGACGTTTGCTGAATCTTGGAGTGATCATGGCTTGTTCTTCCTCACTGCAGCAGTCACTGCCCAGGTGGCCTTGGAGCAACATGTCAGGGAACTGGCTGTGCAAGAGGGCAATGGAGTCACCTTCCAGTGCAGCATGAGTGGAGGCGGAATGGACAGGTACTACATGTTTTGGTACCGACAGGGGCCACGTGGCTCTCTTGAGTGGATTTACCGGGAGGGTGATGCCTATGGAACAGGTTTCCAGGATCGCTTTAAGGGATCAGTGGAAAGCTCCAAGAACAGATGCACCCTGCAGATTCTGTCGGCAAGGCATGAGGATGAAGCAGTGTATTACTGTGCTGCTAGGCTCACCCTGGAGCAACTCTGCAGCAGAGGGAACTAAAAACTGACTGAGAAGGAATACAGATCTCTCAACATTTCTTTCTAGCACCTGATAACCACAGTTTGGTGTCACACAATGAATGGCAGGTGCAGGAAACAGACCTGTGGGGTGCTTGCAGTAAAGGGTGATGAAGGGAAGTGTGGATGAAGGGCTAAGAGCATGTATGATGCAGGAGAATCTATGAAGTGGCAACTTCAGAGGCTGAATGGTGAAGTGCACATGAGTGCCCATTTACCTGGGCTTCTGTCCAGCATGGCCCAGTTTCTTCCATTGCTCCAGGATGAACTACACAAGGTCTGTGTCCCTGACAGAACTGATGGCAGGTGAGATGTATACGCACTAGTCAAGATTTATTGCAGGTAATGTTGGGGTCTTAAACTCTTCATCATGCAAGGTGCAAGTACAGGAAAAGCATAGAGAAACTGGGAGATCCAAACAGCAGTGCAGTTTGAATGCAAAGTGTATATCAGCAGTGAATTTTACTACTTGTAATTAAATCAAGCAACAAAAGTTAACTATTAAAATGCCAGCAACTTGATTATTATAAAATTCTATTCTAGGCTTAGGATATTAATTATCACTCTTAAAGGATTCTACAGTCTTAAACTTCATAATGAAGATTACTTAACATTAATTTTATTAATAAAACAGTGAAAGAGTTAATATTTCTCACTCTTGCCAGGCCACAGCTGGGTGTCCTTGGGTGGACCATAATTCTCAAGAATCAGTCTCTCTGGCAGGCAGAGGGAGAAGGTTCAGCAAGCTTCAGGGAAAGTGTGTGGGAACTCCCCCAGTCAAAAATGGGACCAGGCTTTTATAGAATAAAGTGGATTGCCTGCTGTCATTTAACCATTAGCCATACCTCCAGCATCTCTCATTGGAGAAGAAATGGAAAACAGTAGAAAAAAACATGAAGGCTTTGTTCTCACCAAGCAAACTCTTTTGTTTATCTGTTTGTTCTTACTTTATCTCCATTTCAGGCCTAATAGTGGCTAGGCTGGGCTGGGTTCAGAGTTCTTCAACACCAGAGAGCAGCTGGTGTTAATGTATGTCAATTTGGCCTCTGTTTGTACCTTTCAAGGTTGTTAGCATCTCAGAGTTTGCTAGGCCTTTCCCTTCTCATGGGAATGTTTCCACTCCAGGCCTGCAAAACTGAGAGACGAAAAGCAGTTGAATCATAGAGGGAAACTGAGGCAGGCATATTGAGAGATAGAGCATCCTGTTACAGTATGGTGGGTGGGTTGACCTTTGATGGCCATCAGATGGCCGCCAAGCCAGTCCATCACTCCTGCTCCTCAACTGGACAAAGGGAAGAATGCAATGAAAGGCTGCTGGGCCAAGATAAGGACAGGGAGATTACCCAGCAGTTACTGTCACAAGCAAAACAGACTCAGCCTGGGGATATTAACATAAATCTGCATAGGATAATGAGAAATAAGAACAAATCTAAAAACCTTCCCCTGACTCCTTGCTTGCTAGTATGGACTGCCCTTGAGCTCAGCAATGGTGGGACTAATCTACAGTGTCCACTTCTGGGCTCCCCGGTGCAACGAAGACATGGATATACCAGAGCAAATGCAGTGAAGGGCCGAGAAGATGAGGAAGGGAGCATAAGGCCTACAAGTAGAGCCTGAGAGATTTGGGTTGATTTAGCATAAAGAAGAAAATGCTATGGGAGGATTTGTCAGTGTGTGTAAATATTGGAGGCTGTGTAGTCACCATTCTTGGACGTATTCAAACCTGAAAAGGTGAAGGCTGTGGGCAGCCTACCATCCCTAACCTCAGTAGACAGCTATGCCATGCAGAGCTGTCTGTTTAGTCACCTGCAGCAGGTTGAGAGAGTGAATCGGAAGGGTAAAAGTGAGAAGAGTCTGTGTTAAGATACAAGCAGTTTAATATGTAAAGCAAAACTACAAGTACAAACGCAGCAACGTAAGGAATTAATTCTCTACTTCCCATTGGTAGGCAGATACTTAGGTATTTTCAGCAAAGCAGGGCTTCTTCATGCATGATGACTACATGGGAAAGGCAAATGTTGTAACTCCAAAGATCCTTCTTTCCTTCTCCTTTTCCCCAGCTTCTATTGCTTTGCATGATGTCATGCAGTATGGAATATCTCTTTTTGGCTGGTTTTGGTCAGCTGCTCCCTGATGTTCAGATTAATCCCTCTGTGTTTCAGTGTTTGTGCCTTGCTTCTTGATCCATCGCTGAGCACCACTGCAAAGAGCCTGGCTCTACCTTCCCTGCACCCTCCCTTCACCTGTTTCTATTGATGAGATCTCAAGCCTTCTCCAGGGTGAACAGTCACAGTTCTCTAAGCCTTTGCTCTTGTAACATGTGGTTTTCTCTTTAATTTTTTGTTTAAGCAGAAGTTCAACAAGCATTGAAGAACTGAAATTTGAACATGAAGAGCCAGAGCTGAACTGAGTTTTGAAACCTCATGTTGTTTAAGGAGCCTCAGAGTAGTGCAGCTGCAGGAGCTGGGCAGCAGAGTGACTTTTTCCTGGGTATCGTAAAGTCATAGAATAGTTTGAGTTAGAAGGGACTTTAAAGATCCTCTAGTTCCATTGCCCCTGCCATGCTGTCAAAGTTTGACTCAGGTCCGACAACAATGCTCTCGATCCCCTCCCCCTCCCACCCAGGTAGGGAAGGAGAGAGAGAAAAAGAGAGAGACTTGGCTGGATTGAAAACTAAACTGCACAGCTTTAATTAAAACACTAATGAATCATACAAGAAAATATATACAATTATATACAGATATACTCAGGTGTGGGCAAAAGCCTCTCGCCTCCCCCCACCCCAGCAACTCCCACAGCACTTCCCTGAACTGGGAAGAGTCCCGAGGAATCCCGAAGCTGCTGCTGGAGAAAGCAGAGAGTTATGGGGGTCACGAGAGATCAAGCCTGAGGATCGACGGTGACGGATGAACAGAGTCCTCCCTGGACGCCGGCCATGGACGGAAGAGAAGGGGAGAAGAAGAAGGAAGGAAGTTGTCTTCTGTGATCTCTGACCTTCCTCTGAGCTTACGTAGATATATGGAATGGAATATCTTTGGCCAATTTTGCTGTCCATCTAACTCAGCCTCCTACGGGGGGGTCACAGATCTCCCCATAGTGTCTGAGCTGGCAGAGTGCAGGTGCAGCCTTGAAGCCTCAGTAGTTAGAAAAACATTCCACTGTCTTATCAGCCTAGCAGAACACACTGTTGCTAGTTACAAGAGAGCTTACTGAAGGAAAAAAAAATCAGTAAAAAGAAAAATTGGCTTCATCCTGGCTCAAACCAAGACACATGCGCAGGGACAACTTCCACTAGACCATGTGGTTCCAAGCCCAGTCCAGCCTGGCCTTGAACACTTCTAGGAATCCACAACTTCCCTGTGCAAATTGGAAGTGTCTAACCATCTACATGGTGAAGAATTTCTTCCTTCTATATCTTTTAGTTCTTCTCTCTTTCAGCTTGGAACAGTTCTCCCTCATCCTTTCACTAAGTGCCTTAGAAAGTGTCCCTCTTCAGCTTTTTTATAATCTCCTCTGTGTCCCGAACAGGACAGGATGGCAGATGAGAGGTATATGCACAGATCAAGATTCATTGCATATAACACTGGGGTCCTAACTACTTACAGTAGAAGGCACAAGCACAGTCAGATTGTAGCGAAACACTGAGGCTGGAACAGAAGTTGAATTAGAATGCAAAAGGTACATTAACAATAAAATGTATTGCTTGTATTTAGATCGAACAATAAAGGTTAACCACTAAAATGCTAGCAACTTAGCTATTATCAAGTTTTATACTAAGCCTAAAACATTAATTTTCACTTTTAAAGGATTCTATAATCTTAAAACTCAGTGATTAAGATTACTGGACATTAAGTTTGCTAATAAAGACAATTAAAGAGTTAATATCTCTCACCCTTGCCCAGCCACAGCTGGGTGTCCCTGGGTGGATGTTCATTCTCGAGACTTAGTCTCTAGAGGAGAGAAGGTCCAGCAACCTCCTGAGAAAGTGTACAGGAAGCCACCCCAGTCAAAGCTGGGACCAGGCTTTTGTAGAATAAAGTGAATTGACTGCTGTCATTTAACCATTATCCATACCTCCAACATCTCTCATTGGAGAATAAAAGGAAAACAGTAGAAAAACCATGAAGGTCTTGTTATCACCAAGTAAACTCTTTTGTCTATCTGTTAATTCATTTTATCGCCTTTTCAGGTCTTGTCGTGGCTGGGCTGGGCTCAGACTTCTTCCAACGCCAGAGAGCAGTTGGTGTTATGTATGTCAGTTTGGCCTCTGTATCTGTCAAGGTTGTTACCAGCTCAGAGCTTGCTGGGCCTTTCCCTTCTCATGGGAATGTTTCCACTCCAGGTCTGGGCCTGCAAAACTGAGAGACAAAAAGCAGTTGAATCATAGAAGGAAACTACTGAGAGATGGAGCGTCCTGCTACATTCCACCCTGTGACTGCAGTTAATCATATTACCTCATGAAGTGATAATGCAGGAATGTCTTGCCTCCCTGCTAGAAAAGGAAATGCGTTTATAGGAATGCATCACAAATAGGTTTTAAAATGTGTGAGAAAACCCGTGCCTGTATATTGGTGTTAATTTAAATTAAATCCAATTAAATACAGTGAGAGAGACTAATTCTTCTCTTTTACTATGCTATTTTAATATTTTAATGTGGTTTACGTGGGATCAATTGCATTTTGCAGTTTGTTCACTATACTTTTAAACATAGTACAACTGCTAAAACCAGACATAATTTCACCAATATTGAAAATGTTTTGGTAAGATGTAAAACTGAGTTCAAAATTCCAGTTGCCATTGGTGAACATCCAAACAAGGTTTTCCGCTGCTGGTGCTCTCCATGCTTCTTGACTCTTCAGAGCTCTACAGTCTTTTCAGGTGTATTCTGTCTGTGTCACAATGTACTGTAATCAGAATTCTCTGCCTTT